CTCTCTCAACTCCCCCCAACTTGAGGGGCAGGGAGGGATTTTGTAAAATGCAGCTGTGTGTCCATCACCACCACCAGCTCCCCGGCTTAAAACCAAGCCCGCTGGCTCAGCCTGTGACCTTGGCCGTCGAAGCCTCTGTCTGCTCCTCCAACGTGCAGTGGGGACATAAACCAAGCCACAGGGCTCTGAGGTCACACAACACCAGCTGTGGGAAAGGGCTTTGAAAGCCGTGAGGTGCTCCCCGGAGGGGGGGCTGCATCACCTCCGTCCGCAATGGGGGCAGCTTGGCGCAGGGCCGGGCAAAGAGGCTTCTCCCTGCATAGGGGTTCCTCACTCCTGGGGCTCGCTCGAGTTGGCTGCCTTTGACAGTGATGGGAGGAGGGGAGTAAACATGCTAAGATCAGGGTTACCGTTATGGGGGAGGAAGTTTTCAAATGGGGGATAGCAGTGACTGATCAGAGAAATCAGAGGAAGCGATTGCAGAAAAGCCCTTGGCCCTGCGGGGCGCGGCCGGGGTGGGTGGAGCTGGCTTGCTGGTTTGGGTGCAGACTTGGAAGCAGGGATCCCCTCTTTCGCGTGGGCTGGGAAATCTGACCTAGGGGCTCCAGTGAAGGTCCTTTGATGAATGACGGTCCACCCCAGAGGGTGGAAGGGACAAGCCAGGCATGTTGAGGCACCCAGGGACTAGTGAGAGCAGGAAGCTGGAGGGTCCTGCAGGGAACAGGCGGCAAAGCTGCAACTTAGGCCCAAGTCTGCCCGGGCACTGCCGCCTGAATGCTGGGCCTGCTGCCCTGCCGGGGGAGTAGGGGACCCCTCACAGGGCCCCCCAGCCTGGGGATGAGCACAGGGCCCCCCAGCCTGGGGATGAGCACCAGTGGCGGGAATACCTTTGACTAGAGCCTGTGAGGAGCAATCCTGGGCAGTTCGTCTGTCAGCCGGATGCTGTTAGCTGCAAATATCAGAAACCCCAGTGCCACATGACTTGAAAATAAAGGTGTTATCCAAGCAAACAGAAGTCTGGAAACAGGAGGCCTCCAGGGCCAGGGACTCAGCATCCCAAGACATCAGGATCGGGGTTCCTTGCCTATTTGGTCTTGCATCATCCAGTCTCTCCCACCTGCCTTCACGCAAGGGTCTCAGGCGAGCTGGTCTTTTTGGGAGCAGAACCTTTCCCAGAAACCACCCAAGAGAACGTCCTTTCTTCTTGCTGCTCCTCCCAAAATCAACTGGCAAGGAAGAAGGAACTGCTCGAGTTTAGATTTGTCTCTCCTGGCAGTTCAGAGCTTGCCTTGGGCACACAGCAAGAAGGGCCTGTGGCGGGCAGGGGGTGGCCCTGGGGGAGGCGCTCAGGTCTGCTGCACCTCGTGCCAGCAGGGACACCCATGCCTTGCAGCGCAGGGCTCGCAGCCAGGCAGCCCACGCTGGATCTGACCCGCAGGAAGCCAGGGTGCAGGCCCAGCCCATGGGGCCTCTGTGGGTTCCACTCGCCCCCCACTTGACAGTTGAGCATCGATGAGCCTGACACAAAGGTAACAACGCTCAGCTTCTCTGCATGTGATGGGGTGGCTTGGCTGGTGATGTGAAGGGACAGGGACCTTCAGAGACAGCAGCTGTGTCCCCTGAGTGCTCTAGCCTGCAGGCAAGGTCCCCTCGCCGCTGCTGGACATGCCGGGAAAAGCACCGTTTCCCTCCGCCGTGGGGAGAGTGGACCCTTGGGAGGGAGACGGCCTGCGGGGACTCTCCACAGCTGGTGCTCACAGAGCCCCCACGGGAGGTGCCCGTGGCCGGTGGGGGTGGGGGACCCACCGGTGCCTGTGAGTGGCGCACATCAATTTCCAAGGCCTTGTGAGGCTGTGGAAGAGGAGCCTGGGCCAGCTGAGGCTCCCGCCCAGGGGAGAGAGGGGTCAGGTGGTAGGAGGGCGGCAGGCAGGTTTCCCAAAGACTGAAGCTCAGATTAGACTGAGGCTCCTGACATGTGCTAAGGGAAGGAACAGAAAAGGCTTTTAACTAAAGAGATGGGCTGGAAACAAAGAGGAGCCAGGAGGGAATCGGGGCCTGGAGCCTGTGGTGCGGTGTGGGGAGCACCCCTCCCCACTGTGAGGAGGCCGGTTTTCTTTTCTTCTTTTCGGGGGTTTTTTTAATGGGAAGAGGTGGGAGGGGAGGGGCAGGTGCCTCAGAGGGTAATTGACTGGGGGACTGGGGCTCAAGGGCCTGGTTACCTCTGAAGGAGCCTGTCCCTGGGCCCAAGCCCTGGGGCCCGGTGAGGAGTCACTGGAAGTCACAGCCTGGCTGGTCCGCGCTCTGCTTTTGGAGGCTGGAGGCAGGGCTGGGGGCGGGGTGGGGGGGTGCAGTGGCCTACCCAGCCCTCCCTGCAAGCTTGTGCTGTGTTTTCTTCCCAACACTTCATCTAGGGCACTACTAGCTGAGCAAGGCCAGGAAGCTTCGGGGGACCCCAGTGGCTTTCAGTGCTCACTGCTGCAGGGTCACCTGGGTCTCCTGACACCTGCCTGAAGTGCAGATTCCTGACCCCATGCCAGAGAGTCGGGATGAGGGCCCAGGAATCTGCATTTCCTCCCCCTCCCCCCCCCCAGGGATGCAGGTGTCCCCAGCCCTGTCCACACAGAGGCAGGGGGTCTGCTGGGCTGTATCCGTGCTGACCAGTGAGCGTCTGAGTGTCGGACATGTCAGGGCCCCCACAAGGCGCAGTTCAAGGCTGAGTGACTACTTGTGTGTGTGGGGGGGGGTCCTGCTGGGATGGCAGATTGGAAGCAGTGAGTGCCTGCGCCCCACCTCCGCTTCCCAGGGGTGGGGCCTTCCTTGGGGAAGTCCTCACCCCTCGGTTCCTACCACAAGACCTTCTACCTACAAGCTGCCTCCTGCTGAGGTGGGAAGGGGCTCTGAGGGCTCTGAGCTGCGGAGACCCAGCCCACTGCCGGCCTGGGCTGCTGGTGTCCCTCCCTGCTCTGAGGACACCCAGAGCAGCGCACCCCTGTGGCGGCTAACCCAGTGCTGCTTCTTCCTCCCTCCCTCTCCTTCCCTGCCCCGCCCCCTCCCTGTCTGCCTGTCCTGGGCTTGGCCTCCCTTGTGCTTCTCTGGTGTCTGCCTCCTCTCTCCGCTCAGTAACCGTGGGCCTACTCGCCCACCCAGTTCCGGGGTCCTTGGGTCCACCCCCGTGCCCCCTCCTTTCTGCCCCCCACGCCCTCCCCACCGCCCTGTCTCAGGGGTCCCTCTTCAGATGATCCCCTGGTGTCTTCCATTTGCAGTTAGCTTTCTCTTGGATTTGTGGAGGTTTTCCATTTTTGAAAACTTCAACTGGGGGCCGCCGGCATGAAGGCTCTCCCTTCCTCTCTCTGACCCCTGACCCCTGTTTTTGTTCCAGGCCACTAAACCACCTAAAGAGATGAGCGGGTCAAATGAGACCTCGAGCCCCGTCTCAGAAAAGCCCTCGGCTTCCAGAACCTCCATCCCTGTATTGACTTCCTTTGGGGCGAGGAATTCTTCCATCTCCTTCTAGAAGCCCCCTCACGCCTCCACTCCAGCCTGTCCCCTCCCTTTCCCCATCATTCCTCCCCTGCACTTCTTACCCTCATCTCCACCCCTGCCACCCCATTCTCCAGATCCTCCCCAGGGTTGCCAGAGTGCGGCCCTCCTCAGCTATCTACCATCCCCTGTGGGTGTCTTTGGTTTAAAAAGAGATTTGCTTTCAATTATCTTTTTTTTTTTTTTTTACAAAACAAACAAAAAAGCAAGACAGTAACATGAAAAACCAAAACACACCACCTTCCTTTGCTTCCTGTTCAAAACGGCCACTTTCCACCTTCTGTCATCGTCCCTCCCTTTTCTCCTCACCCTGTCCTTCCCCCATGTCCATCCTGAAGTTCCGACCCTCCCGGCAACTTCTGAGGAGCTCTCCAAACAAACTGAGCCACGAGACTTGGGCGGCGAGACACCCCCTCCCCTTCCTCAGACACCGCCCAGGAGGAAAACCTGGACCCTGAACCAACTCCAGTAGCAGGCTGGAAAACGGGGTGTAGGGAGACGCCAGCCCCGGAGGCTCCCCTCTCCTCTGACCTGGGGGACATGACTGAATTCTGCTGCCCTGGTGGACCTGGAGCCAGCTGGACGGACCGGAGAGGGAAGTTGATTCGGGCGGGGTGGGGTGGGGCCACCCCAGCTGCTCCCGGGGCAGGAGCTGGCTTTCTGGGGCCCCTTCCTGTGGGAAGAGCTGCTGGCCTGGGCCCAACCCAGGAAGGGCCTTTGGAACTGCTGGCTGTGGGTGGCAGCTGAGCCAAAAGCCTACCGCTGGGGCACTGCCTTGGGAGAGGGCAGCCTCGCCAGGGGCCTTTGGTACATTTAGTTTCCTAATTTAGCACTTTAATGACATTAACTTATTTAATGGGGTGGGGTGGGCAACAATGAACGGGCTAGAAAATTAGATTTTGAGGCCTGGAGGGTGGGGAGGGTCTGGTTGTGAGGGAGACGGAGGGAATTGGGAGAGGGTCCATAGGGCACTAAGCGGACAGCTCTGACCCCGCAGATGGGGTGACTGGACCCTCAACCCTTGTCTTTGAGCATTTGCAGGGAAGGGGTGAGACACGGCTTTAAATGGAGAGTTGGTCACCCCTGATAATAGCCTTGAGGGTCCCGGTGGTGGCCTGACCCGTTAGCCAGCACCCCAACCCAGGGCAGCCCACCTTGCAGGGGCTTTGGCTGGAAGGCTTTGGCCTGATCCTGAGGTGGGAGGGAGAGAGGAGTTTTGGTTTTCAGCCCCAGCCCAGATGAGGGCACAGTGAGGGGCTAGTAGTCCATTATGTGTTTGGGGAAGGAAGAGGATGGAGTGGGGACCCCAGGGGGCAGGATTCCTATTGAGCACAAAGTCAGGGAAGCACAGGAGAGGGGCTTAGAAGTAGTGTCCCTGTAAGCACAGAAAGGAGCCACTGGAGGAGCAGAGCTTTCTAGACCTTGGGGCCTGACGGGAAGGTGGGTGCTTGGGGGAGAGCCAGAGGGGGCTGTTGAGGGTTAGGGAGGGAGGGGAGATCGGGTTGTGTTTTTTTCATTTCTTTCTTTTGTTTTATTTTTGTTGGTTCATCCTTGTTTTCTAGCTTTGGATCATTTTTGTACAAAGGCAAGCAAGCCTTTTTGAAAAATAACAAAAGAGGAAAAAAAGCCCTCAAAAAAAAAAAAAACCCTGGAAAATAGAGAAAAAAAAAAGGACCTCATAAATGATGCAATTACTTTTAATTGCAGGCAACTCTTTACATTTAAGTGAAGTGTCTTAACATTTTATATTGTTTTAAAAATATATTTACATATTATATATATATAATATACGTAATATAAATATATATAAATATTTAAAAAAGAAAAAAAAAGAAAACCGCGGCGCTCTCTCCCTGGCCACTGTTTTGGCGGGGGAGGGGACTGGAGGGTGGCACGTCCGGCTGACTTCGTGGTCCAGTGAAACGGTTTGGTTTGATTTGGCTGTACAGAGACCCCCTGACTTGGGAGGGAAAGGGGGGGACGGCGCCCCTCCTCCCTCCGCTCCATCACTCTTTGCTTGCTACTTTTTGCTTGCCCCTGCGCTCCCCAGCCCTGGACCTGAATGTGCCCCACCGTCGTCGTCCTGAGCTGACCGTCCCTCGGTGGGAGGAGAAGTGGGAGGCGGTGTCTGTCCGCAGGGGGCGCTGGCGAGCGCGGAGCCCGGTGGCGCTTGCATTGCTTCCACTCCGGCTTCTGCAGCTTCAGGGGCTGAGGGCACTTGCCTGCATGCAGTTGTCGCAGCCGTGTGCGCGGACGAGTCCACGCCCCTGTGTATGGCGGGAAGCGTGACGCGTGCACAGGGAGGCGTGTGCGGAGCCGCCCAGCGTGTGAGAAGGTGCATGGCGCGAGTGTCGACATGTGGACCTGCAAGAGACGTGTTTGCACGCAGGTGACGTGCGCACAGAGGGTTGCGTGGCAGTGCATGTGACCTGTGTGAACGGCGCGTGCGTGTGCACGAGTGTCGAGGCGTGTGGGAGTGCCTAGCCCTGTCCCTGCACCACTCTCGGCTCCCCTTCCAGCCCCAGCCGCTCGAAAGCCCGCAGCACGTCAATGCCCCCCAGCTGCATGCGCCTCGCTACTCTGTCCATCAGTGTGTGCTTGACCAAGAGAAAATTAAGATGTCTCGGGGACCCCTGTACCAGGCCCCCAGCCCCCGCTCACTGTGCTGTGTTACTCGCATGGGGGGTTTCCGCTCCCACCCGGTCACAATATGCTGTTTCCCCAGGAGCCTTAGGCCTGAGGCGCTGAGAGGGGTCCCGGGTGGGGCCCCCCAGAGCGAGCCCGGCTCCACACCCTGCCCCGTCCACCCTGTAGGGCCCTTGTTGGTGTAGCAGTGACGGCTTCTGTGGATGTTCTGTGACCTCTGTCAGTGTAACTTGACAATTTCTAAATGGAAAGGGTTGCTGTGTTTTCTGTCTCTCTCTTTTCTAATGTCCTTTTTCTTCTCCCCACTTCCCTGCTCTCTTCCCTTTTCGGTTTTTCTAGCCAAGTGTTTGGGGCTTAAATAAAACTTGTTTCTTTTTCCTCTCCTGGATGTCCTTCCTACAGGCTACTGACTCATTATTTTGTCTTATCTTGGAAGGTGCTGGGATGGAGGGGTGAGGGACCCCTAGCTGAGAGTCGCAGGGAGGGGCCGTGACAGGGCACCAGGAGCCCCTGGGAGCCAGCACTGTCGGGGACACGGAGGGACACCGCTGACTCCTGCCGGCACCAGCTCTCAGCCGGGAGCGGCGAAGCCTGAGTCACTGTGTATCCACCAGCATCATGCAAGTTGTAGGATCCAGAATGAGGGTTGGAATCCAGCTGTGCCGCGCCCCAAACCCAGTGCCTTCCCCACCACGCCCAGCCCAGGCCACGGCCTCGCAGGGTTGGCCTCCGCGGTGCCCTGCGGCAGGCCTGGCCTCCTGCTCCAGAGAGGCGGCTCTTCAGAGTGTCTGCCCGGCCTTTCAGGAGCAAACCTTTGTTCAGAACGGTAACTCACATAAAGTGCATTTTACAGCTCAGCAGTGTAGACGTGTGCACGCACTCACCAACACAGTAGTGAGCGACTCTGCCATTTTCTATTAAATTCTAAACACTGGGTCATTTATGACCCTCTGTGGTAAAAACCCACATCACGGGAAATACTTGCTCTGAAGACCTAGTTTCAGACCTGTCATGGCGCATTTTCTCTTTCTTCTCTTCCAAGGCCAGCTGCCCCCACTTACCCCCGATCTCTGAAACTGGAAGAGCCCTGGCAGGAGGGATGTCGGTCCTATGGCGTGGGTGGCCCTGGCCCCTGACCCTGTCGCCAGAGCCGACAGACCCCTCCCGATTACAAGGCCAGAGCCCAGCATGCCCCTGGGTTTTCTTGGACTTTTGACGCTTGTCCCCGTTGCTGCATGTTCTAAGGGTCCTGAGGTGCCCTTCCAGGCACGCTCCTGCGTAACTGGGGGCACCTGGGGTGCCCCATCCCTGTTCCTTCCATCCTGTGAAATAATGACACCTTTCTGGAGCTCACACCTCCAGCCCTCCCAGAACTCCGGCCACACTGGATCTCAGTGGCCAGGAGCCTCTTTGGAGACAGAGACGGGGGTCTACAGGGATTTCCCACTCGGGGCACCGCTGGCCAAGCAGCCCTCAGCCTGCATCCTTGTGTCCTTCAAACAATGTGAGCAGATGGCGCCATGTCCGTGCTATCCAGAGCGTTGCCGGCCCCCAGACCCCCACTCCCTGACAGCTCGACATCCAGTAACAAATGGGATCACCCCTGCACGAGCTGTGCCATGCCCTCTTTCACCCCTCAAATTCAACCTGTTGAGCGCGGCTGCTCTGCCCGCTGGGGTCATAAAAGTCACTGTCCAGCAGGGGGCGGTGCCGATTCCCCAGCAAAATCGCGCAGCTCTGCAGCTGGCGGGCAGCGAGGGAGAGGGCCACCTCTCTGAGGTCACAGCCGAGCGGAGACCTTCAGAACCAACGAGATGGCAGAAGCGTCGCAGGAAGACAAGCCCACCTTCTGCAGCTTTGCCCACCCAGCGGGCCTGGACCGGCCGCTGGCTATGCCCTCGAGCAGCAGCTGTGGCTGGCGCGCTGAAGGGACGGGGTGGGGGGTGGGGGTGGGGGCCCCCCCGCAGAGGCGAGACCCTCAGGCTGTGGAATGAAGCCTGAGATGGCGGCCCCCGCCGGGCGGGCGAGCTCACACTCACCGATTCGCCCTGCGCGCCTGGGTGGCCCAGCGTCTGGGCCATGCACTCTTGCGTGTCCCTGGCGGAGACTTCCAGAAAAGCTAGCGGCTGTGGGGTATCTAGTGGCTGCGTGTCCCAGGCAGAAAGAAATTCCTGAAGTCACCTGTGGATTACAGAGAATGAATGAAGCCCAAGCAGAGGAAGGGGGTGATCTGTGACGTCCCAGGCTGCACAGGCTCATCATCGGCCAGGCAGCTTGCCAGAGAAACCTGGAGCCCTTGGCAGTTTATTCTCTGATGCTCCCCGCAGCCCCCCCCCCACCCCACCCCCACCCCCCGCTGAGATGCCCAGCCCCTGGCTCAGTGCCCGCCCACGCTCCCCGAGCCGCCATGCGGCAACGGGTGAGACTGCAGGTGTGGACCGTTGATACTCTTGGCTGGAGCCCCGATAATGGCCACGACCTGCAGGGGGATGGGGCCTCCTTTGGGAGATGGGGTGGAGGCTGGCCCGGAGGGACGTAGCAGGGAAGGTGGGCTCTTCTCTGAGCCAAGGGGGCCCACTGGGGGGTTTAAAGGAAGTGACAGATCTGACACTAGCTCCGAAGTCGCCTCTGATGGGCGTAGAGGTGGGGGCAGGATCCAGGGCAGAGCCTTCCGCAGACTCGCTCCAGCTCGCGC